TTTCGACTTTACTAGGGTGGGGGATGCCGTGGTTAAAATATTTGCACTTATTTCGCAGTCACCCTGTATACGTATTTCTTTATTTGTGTTGAAGAGTATTAATCCATGTTCCATGTAAAAATTTATAGTACAAATATTTTCCCATACAAACTTCGTCACCACGTTTCATCCCCTTTGGGGTTGAATCTCGGAAAATGCTTAAATACGTGTTTCATTAATTGTGTTGAAGATCATTAATACCAAGTTTCACGTAAAAAGTTAAATTTACAATAGAAATATTTTTCCTATACAAAGTTAGCCACCACTTTTCATCCCCTTAGGGGTTGAATCTCTGAAAATGCTTAAATACGTGTTTCATTATTTGTCTTGAAGAGCATTAATACCAAGTTTCACGTGAAAATTTAAATTTACAGTACAAATATTTTTCCCATACAAATTAAGCCAGTAGTTCTCACCCCTTTAGGGGTTGAATCTCGGAAAATGCTTAAATACGGGTTTCATTATTTGTGTTGGATACAATTAATACCAAGTTTCACGTAAAAATTTAAATTTACAATACAAATATTTGTCCCACACAAATAAAGCCTCCACTTTTCACCCCCTTAGGGGTTGAATCTAGAAAAATTCTTAAATGCGTGTTTCATTATTTGTATTGAAGAGTATTAATACTAAGTTTTACGTAAAAATTTAAATATACAACAAAAATATTCTCCCATACAAACTTAGCCTCCACATTTCACCCCTTAGGGGTTTAATCTTAGAAAATGCTTAAATAGGGGTTTCATCATTTGTGTTGAAGAGCATTAATGCCAAGTTTTACGTAAAAATTTCAATCTATAGTAGAAATATTATTCTTATACAAACTTAGCCGCCCAAACTTAGACACCACTTTTCACCCCCAAAAAATGCTTAAATACGTGTTTAGTTATTTGTATTGAAGAGCATTAATACCAAGTTTTAAGTAGACATTACCATAAAAATATTTTTCCCATATGCACCCCTTTTCACCCTCTTAGGGGTCGAATCTAAGAAAATACTGAAATACGTCTTTCATTATTTGTGTGGAGACCATTGATACCAAGTTTCACGTAAAAATTTAAATTAACAGTAGAAGTATTAGTCTATACACATTTTACCACCCCTTTTCACCCCCTTAGGAGATGAATTTCGAGAAATCCCTTCTTCAACGATGCCTCCAGTATAAAATGAACATCCTCTCCAAATTTCAACTTTCTAGCTTTAGCGGTTTGAGCTAGGCGTTGATAGGTCAGTCGGCACATTGCCTTTTATATACAGTGCATCTTTTTTAAAAGTGGCCATAGGGATTCCTATGTTAAATTTTAGACCCCATGTTAACTTTTATTAGGGTGGAAACTTAGAGATGATTTTTGCGGAGAAAATAGCCTTAGGGTTCTACTTTAATTTTCACTGCCACTTTTTGCTGTAATTCCTTAATTTGTGCTTTAAAAAATAAAAATTATTTTGATTAAAAATGTTTGGTACATCATAGACGGTTTTGACTTATCATTTTAACTTGCCATCTTTGCCAGCTAAATTTTGATTTAATCATTAAATACCGTCATTGCAGTTTTTAGAAAAGAAACGGAATGATGGAATTCAAACATAAATGAAGATAATAAAAGATAATTTCACTAAAAATGGTTTTTTAATGTCCACGATCGAAAAACCTGTCTTTATAAATCTGCCGTAAAATTTTCAAAATGTGCTCTTGCCGGGTATGGAACGATGTGGGAATGCTGCAGCAAAATTTTGCGCAGTTTCTCTGTGTCGATAAGGCTTTAATGTATCCATCAATGACCATTCCTTCTTTTTCTTTAATTGTGTGCTGCATCATGTTGACGAATTTCGGTCACTAAAAAGCAGTAATCGAACGAGTAATCAAAATTTAGAAACGTCAGGTTTACATGGCTGCCTACAACATTAGCGACAAAAGTATCCAAATATTTTAATTTTTTTAAAGGAATATCGTATAATTTAAAATACGACTTTTTAATAAAATCGACAAAAGACAACCCAAATTACATCCAGTAAAAATTTCAGCTCTGAATCTTTACTCAAACATAAGTTAACATTGGGTACAAAATTTAACATGGGAATCCATATGGCCACTTTTAAAAAAGATGCACTGTATAAAGATTATGCATTATTATTTAAGCACAAATTTCATTACCACAAAAAAGGTTATACTGAGTCGACCTTAAACGACAGACATATGCTGTCGGGGAATTTTTTTTTAGAACTTTTAGAGGGGAACAATTTCATCGTACATGATTTTTACGTAACTTTAACCGTTTCAGCAGCATAAGCAACGGAAGTTGTCAAAGGAGGAATAATTTTCCCGTTTTGCCGATATTTTTCATTGCTACGTCGCTCCTATTGATCGTAGCGTGATGTTATATAGCCTATATGTATATACGATAAATGGACTATCCAACATAAAAAGATTTTTTGAATTCGAACCAGTAGTTTCTGAGATTAGCGCGTTCAACCAAACAAACTATTCAACTTTATAATATAAGAATAGATTACATTGTATTTATTTTTCTTTTTAATTGCGGTCCAGGTTCATTAATTCTGACTTCTTCATTCTCATTTTTTGATTCGTCACTGCTCCTGAGAATCTGGGACTCCATTCCTTCAAATTTGTCGTCACTTCCGGTCCCGATATAAATAAACCTTTTATAACTTTTCACATGATTCACCATTTCAGAATTCACAAAGAACACAGCATTTTAATCCAGATTGTCAACAGCTACATGTTCTGCTGCAAGCTTTTTTGCATTTACATTAAATTATTTTTAATTTTTAGCGCAGAGGTGTTGGTTTCTCTGTCTTTGTTACAGGAAGAAGCCCATTGGTTCTGAACACCAATCTTCTAAACTAATTTGAATTCCATACCATTTTTGGACTTGATACGTCGTAAATGCATAATATCGCGCAGCACCAATTGTAGGTGGCAAACAATAAGCAAGTTTAAATTTACTTTGTGTTGTTGATTTTTATGAAAAGTTGGTAATGAACTTCTTCCAAGGTTTCCTTGTTCATGCTACCTGGTGTATGGTTACAAAGTCACTAGAAAGCAAGCCGATATATTCAGGTCAGATCAGGTCATTTTTATATTTGAAAATGCCAAGGAAATTATGGAGCTTCCTATATTTTTTTGAGAAGCGTATAAAATCACACAGCCAATAAATGCATGAAGAAAGAGACTATTCTTTACTGCTTCTTTGTGTTTTAAACAACAGTGGCGGCTCGTCAGATGAAGCAAGTGAGGCGGCACCTCACAGCATATATCTTAAGAACAGATTGACTTAATTTGTAATTAAAAAAGAGCTTTCAATGCATTTTTAGTTGCAAAAATATGTTGAAATGGCAAATATGTAGATGATTTTTTATTTTTTACGCTTTCTGCTGATATTTTCGGTTGAATACCGTACGATTTATGCCCCTAGTTCTTTAACTGAAGCGGCCAGAACGTCAGTTCACTTGAACCAACGAAGCCCAATCATAGACATGTCCATGGCTCAGCTCCTATACTCCTATATCTGCGTTCGCTCGGAACTGAGGCGATATCTTCGGTGCTTCTCGGCCATTTTCGGCGTTAAACCATTTTCCCATTTATTTTACAGAACGGAAGGGCTGCGGGGTGCGTGGGTAATTAGCATGAAGGTGAGTAAAAGCCCACGTGTTGATGTTTCGTGTTTTTGTCTCTTTCATAGGTACAGGTGAGTGAAAAATGAATCCCGAGTACCATATTGTCATGTTCCTTCTTGAAACACGGTTTTTACAGCGAACCGAGCTAGAACGTCGGCAAATTTTGCTAAATATCGAACAGTCAAAACCGTTGATTCATTTAACTTCCATTGATGAGCGACAGAATCGTCAGTACTCCTGGTCTTTTAAATCAACTTGGTACGGAACATATAAATGGCTCTGCCGTAATATTTGTACGACGTCCCGGGATATAACGATTCAAATAATTTCATTCGAAGTGCAAAGTTACATGAAAGTTCCAAAGTACACATTAAAAATTTCATGGGCCTAAAACTTTTAGAAAGGAACACAACGACTATTCCCGAATCCCTCCAAGAAAGCGTTAGTTTAAACAAAATTTTGACTTTTAAAAACATTGTTGATTAAGTGTGTTATGGGCGTTATGGGTGTTATTATTAATATTATTATTGTTAATATTATTAGGACCTACCACTGAGCCGGAAATGACCGATATTCGGGCAAGACTTCTATCATTACTAACTAGTAAGACCCTAAGACCAAGTAATATGCATTAATCACATTAATTTAATTAATTTGATTATTAATATTATTATTAATGTTATTATTGTCAAACTTCTATCATCGCCTCACCACATCAGACAGTCACGAGCCGCCACTGTTAAACAAGGAAATCAATCAAAGCCTTAGCCAATGGTGAAAACATCATCAAATATTAAATAATCAAATGGGAAATAGCTGTATTAATAGTCTTGTACATCAGCCTCTTCAGTTTGTTTAACATTGGAGCGTAGTGAAATAATAAATGGGGTAAAAGGTTTACTGTCTTTTATTGTACACACAATAAGTGAGAATTATCCAAGAGAACCATCACACTCCCATACAAACTTTCATCCCTGATTTTACGCCCTTGGGGGTGGAATTTCTCAAACGCCTTTCTTAATGAGTACTTACATTACAAAAAAAACCCACTGTCAGTCAATCAGTCTGGAGAAACACTGTTTATATTATGTATAAATTATTAGTTTGAAATTGGCTATGGTTGTGCTTTTTCTTGGTTTTATTTGTATTTAACGTTTTTAAACTCACATGTAAGTATATCATTGTTTTGAATAAAGGTGCATTACGTTACCAAAATGTCATGACTGAGCTTCTTGGGTATTGTGGAACCATATTTTCAACGTGTTATAATTGATTGGGTACCTTGTGATCTTTGCTCGAAAAAATCTGTATATATATTTTTTCAGACCTACATGTTACTCATGCTTTTCCGTGCCGAAACACCAAGTCTGATAGAAGGAATGCGCAAGAAGTAGAAGCAGAAATTTCACGATCAATTGATAAAGAAAAGATTACCCTCGTTGGCTGGTATCACTCCCACCCATTTGCAGCAGCAGCACCAACACTTCGAGATGTAGATGCTCAGTTGGATTATCAAATACGAATGAAAGGGAGTTCTGATAATAACTATATGCCATGTATTGGAATGATAATTTGTAATTCAGTTGTTTTTGTTATTGATGTTTCAATAACTGCGAATCGTTTTAGCACCCTACAGCTACGAAAACAATTCTTTGGAATCCAGCATTATATCATACTGGGTCATACCGCCTCCTGAAACAAAACCAAATGAGTATGGGCGTCCAATGTTGATGTCTTACAGCGTTATACAAGATTCATTGATAACAACAAATGTAAAAGAAGAAATTAAAAGATGCGTTGAATATTATAAAAAAGAAAGAGATTTTATTAATTTTAATGAAAGATATTTAAATAACAACTTGTATATAGACAAATTAAAAAATACACTCTTATCGAAATTTCCCCGCGATGAAAACGAAACTGTTCTGTGGTGTTTTATCAAAGATGCTGTGGGTCATCATACTGAAGAAAATGATTGTTTGTTGTCTATTCCATCAATTTCCAAGTCACCTTTATTACCAAATCTTAATTCATCCTTAAGCTCAAATCTAATATTACAAAGTGATATTTCGAATATTTTATTTAATTCTGGGAAGTTTCCCACAGCGAGCAGCTTATTAGGACTTCCTGACCCAATGGCACATAGTACTTTGGCTGCAAATAATATATTTTTGTCGACTAATCTTTTTAAAATGCAAGAATTATTAAAACCACTATCATCTAATAACAACACAATGCAAACTAAAATGAAATCTGATCTAAAGCGTTGCACGTCACTAAAAATCCCTACAGATATTAAAGGCAAATCCGAATTTGCAGTTGACTTACTGAATTTGAAAAATAAGTTAGATTTTATTGCCCCTGATTTAAATTTGTCAAAATCAGATTTTTCTGTATCTGATTTGAATTCAAAAACCGTAAAACAAGAATTGTACATTGCTGATAGCAATATTAGTTTAAACAGAAATACTGACTTAGGAGAACGTTCTTTGAAAATACCTAAAAGCGATTTTAACACAATAGATCTAAGTATATGTAAAAACTCGAATGAAGTGAAAGAAACTGCAACGGATTTAACCATTCCTTCAGATAACAGGAATGAAGCAAATGTAGATACACCATTAAATTTGACAATTGAATATTAACTACACCTGATTATTTAAATGGCTTAAACAAATGTGTATATTGCAGATAGCGAACAAAACAATTTGACAATGCATATTAGATTTCGCGACGATGTTGTCAGTTGTAAATAATGCAGCGCTTTTGTAAAGAAGCATGCACATAAATTATGCACATATTTCATGGGATATTTATGCGTATTGTGTATTGTTTAAAATATCGTTAGTGTTTAAAAATGTATGCATCAGAGACAAAAATTTATTGTTTTCAAAGCAATATCCCTTCCTTTTAGTAATAACAACTTTAGACAAAAATCTATAATTTTACTTCTGATCAACTTCAGTAATTAAAAAAAATGTTGCTTTGAACTTTAAAACACGTGTAGATTACAAAGAAATATGTATCTATTTTTTAATTCAGGGACACCAATGCACTAAAAATTATCTTGTTAAAATTAGAATTTTTTGGCTGTATGTAGATATTATTGCTGAAAAAGAAGAGAAAACTTCAAGTAGCTTTTGAAATATTATGTTGGGAAGAAAGAGAAAAATGTAAGTCTAGAAATTTTAACAAGTAAAATACCAACAATAGATGCAGAATGACTAAAACTAGAAGAAGTTGTGCAAATTCATCTTTCGCTTTTAGAACAAAAATCGTTATTTTGAATAACTCATACAAAATGCAGTACTTACAGGTTTTATACATTAGATACCAATGTGGCTAAACTGAACAGTAGGTTATAGTGTACATATTTCTGAGCTCATGTTGCATGTTAATAATTAGTTGAATGTATCACATTCTTGACATTTCAATAACTTTTAAAGAATAAAAATTGTAAAGTAGGTATTAATTTTCGCTGTTAAGTAAGTAAAATATGTATTCAAATGTTTAGGTTCATTACAGTTTTAAGCGTGTATGATTTTGATAAATTCTTAATAAAGGTATGCGCATATTCCTATAAAACACTTTACGGATTAATGCGTTGGATTCCAGTAATTGTTCTATATTTTTCACTTTCCGAGCTTAAGCTAAGAAGTATTATGAGTTATGGGATAACTTTCATATTCTCTCGATGTGTCATATTCATGAGTACAAAAACATCGATCTTCCCGTTTCTATTTGTCTGTTATCTTCCCACGCAAAAGCTCTAAATAAGGGGCAGCGCGATAAGTGTTACCAACAGTAATCTGAACAAAAAATTCGACGTCACCACCTTTGAATATTATCTTTACAAACCTCAGGAAGTGAAAGCCACTAGTGCAAAGTTGTGTCTGTAAAGAATATTAGCATCAGTGGCCAAGAATGAACACTAACAAAATTATTGTTTTGAGCGTAGCCCGGTTCCTTGGAAATATATAGTAGTAGAATCATAAATTGTGCTTAGGAAGAAGGAAGCAGCAATCCTTAAAATGCCTTTTTTTTCTTTTATTTTTTTATCTTTCATGGTAACTCAAATAACTATACATAATCGTAGTCATTAATTTTATCGCTTACAGCAGATCTCGGCGAAAAATATATTTTTCCAGTGACGGCGTAATGTAGTTTGCACTAGGCATTCGACAGCCTAGTGCTTCGATTGATGTTTCAGTGTATGTTTATTTACTTTACAAGGTAATACTCAATCGATTTTTCGTAATTATTGTTTTTAGAAATTTAAACAGCGGCACGGATATACAGTCCAACCTGTCCACAACGGACACCCATGGGGAATCTCGAAGTGTCCGCTGTCAAGAGGTTTCAAGACACGAACTAAAGAAAGCAGTACCTTTTAACATGCACATATATGTACTTTATTCAATATTTTATTGTTTATTGCTACATACATATTATTTCTTTGTTATAGGAGGTAAGCGCTGAATATTCTCGGCCTGATATACCTTATTTGCGATTGCTCGTCGGGAAATTTGTACAACTCATAAAACCCTAGAGGGTCCCCGTAGTATGTGTGTACAATTTCAAGCTTCACTGCCCATTAGTTTTGACACAATTGAGGAGTATAGTTTGAAAAATGATGGACTTATCAGACCTGTTTAAAATTGAACATCGAGCGGTAATAAAATTCTTAGCAAAAGAAGGAATTGCTTCGGAGGATATTAAGGACAGGATGGTTTTTGTGTTTGATGAAGCTTATTGTAGTGGCCAACTTTGTATTCAAATTTTAAAGGAAAGCGCGCCCAACCGACGACGGCGAGGAAGACGCTGTGTAAGCAAGGAGATGGGGAGATCGTGCCGTGGACGGCGCGAAGAGTTGGTGGCGGCAGTTTTTTAACACCAACCAGACGAAAGGTTGTATTGCAATTTTGGTCCGAGCGCTTTCTGTCTGTTTTTATTGTTTTAGTGTTTTATTCATTATGTTTTCACCCCGCTTTTCAATTGGACTTTTTCCCCTTGCCGTTGGAGCCGCCAACCACCGCTGCCGTCTTCCGTGGGGCTGAGAATCGCTTCTTCGCTCGCAGAGGTAGGAACGTTTGGGGCGGTAAGAACGCTGGGCGTTTGGTTGAATTGGACAGGTATGTGCTTATTGTAATTTTCTTTCTTTGGATGCGAGCTGGTGCTCTTGAGTGCATGGTTCTTTCGCTGAACATTGTTGCGACATTATTCTAACGGGAATCTCCGCTTCTCTATGTACCCGGTGCGAACTACCCAGAATGCCGTTTGGGTGTGGAAATCGCCGAGCCACGACCCGGCGACCCGCTGTAGAAAATCTCCAAACGTCCGTTGCAACGTAATCGTCGTTTTCTTAGTTTTGTTTTTCAGTAACAAAACAATAAATCGTTGTCGCAGGGCTTTTCAGGCAATTCATTAGTTAGGATGCAATTCAATGCAAGCGCTAGTCTGGTAAATCCGCGCTCAGTTCATTTTTGCATTAGTGAGCAGAGAAATGTCGATTGACCTAAATAATTATTACTCACATTATTAACGGAAATCTGGACCATTGTTTTATGTTATGATTTATGTGTTACCATTTGAATTCTATATTTACAATTTTGAAAAGCACACGTTCAAAGTGCAATGTGTACCAACCATTTTATTTTTAAGACCCACCACTGACCCGGAAATGACCGGCATTCAGGCAAGACTTCTATCATTACGGGTACTAAGACCAAGTAATGATATGCATTGATTAGATTAACAGAACAACTTTCGAGATTCTAGAATTACAGCATACAAATTAGTCTGCTATTATTCTCTAATCTCACCCCATCCCCAAAAATCTAGCGTAACTACCGACCATTTATCCGCGCATCACTTGGAAAGTGACCTACACTACTCTGACCTACTGGTGCTAATCTAATCTGACTGACATGATCAGACTGTTCAAGAAACTTACGAACAATATGACATGTTCCTAACAAAACAGCTTTTTGAATTTTGATAATTATTGAATCATTCAAATGCAAAGACTTTAAATTCTCAACTAAGCTATTTGGAACTACACCTACATTAGAGATAACTAGGGGTAGAATTGAAATTTTTTTAAGATTCAACATGGATTTCATTTCTATCGATAATTGTAGATATTTTGAAATCTTGGTGTGCTATGTTTGAATAATGTTATTTGTGTTAGGAACAGCAATGTCAATGAGAATGGCTTCGTTCGTGTGTTTTTTGATAAGTATGATGTCTGGTCTGTTAGCTGTAATGTTTAAGTCTATAAGTATTGTGCGATCCCAGTATAATTTGTATTTGTTATTTTCAAGGAACGGAGATGGAATGTAAGTGTAATAAGGTGTCGTATCTTCGATTAAGTTCATAAGTGTTGCTAATTCTTTGTGGATGATTTTGGCGACGTTGTCGTGTCTAGCTTTGTAGTCAGTTTGTGCTAGGATGCTGCAGGAAGAGATTATGTGTTGGATCGTTTCAGGTTTTGCTTTGCAGAGGCGACAGCAGTCGTTTCTTATGTTCGGATCTTTGATGATGTATTTTCTGTAATTCTTGGTATTGATTACTTGGTCTTGAATAGCAAACACAAATCCTTCTATTTCGGCATACAAACTTGATTTTTTTAACCAAATCAATGACATTTTCTTATTGACATGAGTTTCTTCTAAGTCTTTGTAGAATTTTCCATGTAGTTGTTTTTGTTTTAGCCCACTTATTATTTTGTCTATTGTGTGGGGGGTGTGGATTTCTTCGGTGTTCGACAGATTTAAGGGTGTGTGGTTCAAATCTGCTCTTGTGATGGTGCGAAACATTTCATTTCTTTCCGCTCGTTTCAAGAAATACTTCTTCAAATTTGAGATTTGTCTCTGATATAAGTTTTCTAGGTTCTGGAAACCCCTTCCTCCATTCTGTCTTGGTAATGAGAATCTTTCAATCGACGATTTTGGATGATGCCTTCTATACTGTGTGAAGATTTTCCTAGTTGCGATGTTTAAATTTTCAAGATCAGTTTTGGACCATTTAATGACTCCAAAAGAATATGTTAGCAGTGGAACGCAGAATGTATTTACTGCTTTCATTAAATTGTTTCCATTTAACTGTGTCTTTAATATTAATTTTAATCTCGCTAGGTATTGATCTTTCAACTGTGTTTTCGTTTTGGTATGATTGATGTGGGAGGATTGACAGAAACCCAGATATTTGTGTGTATCGTTTCGTTCTTGGGCTTCGATTATTTTCTTATTCTGGGTTATATGTGGTACTTGGTGTTGGACGCCTTTTCTGATTGCTTGGGTCTTACATTTGTTAATAACAAAAGACATACCAATATCACCGGAAAATTGTTCAGTCAGATTTAATAGGTTTGTTAACTGATTTTGTGTACTTGCATATATTTTTATGTCATCCATATATAGCAAGTGACTTATTCTCTTATCTCTTTGTTTGTTAATTCTTATATTGAACCCATAATTGGAGCTGTTCAGGATATCGGAGAGGGGATTTATTGCTAAGCAGAACCATAACGGACTAAAAGAATCGCCTGGAAAAGTTCCTCTTCGGATCATTATTGGGTCTGATTGAATTGTTTGTTCATTTAAGGTTATTTGGAGGGTGGTCTTCCAAAATTCCATGGAACATTTGAGAAAAGTGCAGATTTTAGTATCAATTTTGTATAATTCCAGAATTTTGCATAGCCAGGAATGAGGGACAGAATCGTAATCTTTCTTATAATCAATAAAAGCAGTATATATGTTTCGGTTTTCTTTTCTAGCTTGTTCACAGATGATGGAATCTATGATTAATTGCTCTTTGCAACCAAAGGATCCTTGAATACATCCTTTCTGTACTTCATTAATGATGTCAGAGTTAAAACAGTGTTGTTGGTTTTTTTGTGTAATGCATGAGGTTAATATTTTATAGATTGTCGGTAAACATGTGATAGGTCTGTATTTTGATGGATTTTTTGTGTCGTTATCTTTAGGTTTTAGGTATGTTACACCATGACATAAGAATGTTGGAAAGAAGGATGGGCCAAGAAGGAACTGATTTAAGTGATGTAGTAAATGAATATGTACACAATTTAATTTTTTTATCCAAAAATTATGGATTTTGTCTGGTCCTGGTGATTTCCAGTTGTGTGTCTTATTGATGGTATTTATTAATTCGGCAAGTGTTATCTGATGATCATTCATTGGTGTAACTGTGGATAGTTTATGGGATATATGAGGAATCCATTTGGCAGATTGGTTAAATTCAAATTCTTGAGACCAAAGTTTTGACCAAAATGTTGTTACATCCTGTGAACTTGGAAGTTCACCTGATAATAATTGAGTTTTGCTTGAATTAGTTAAATTTTGATAAAATAGTTTTTCGTTGTTTAAAAATTTAGTGTTATGAATTTTTCTGAGATGTGATTGTTTGTATCTTTTAAGTCGTTTGCTATATAAGGAAAGTTTTTGTAATAAGGTATCTTTAATTTGGGATAGTTTTGTGTTGTACTCATCGTAATCAGTTTGATGAAAATTATTGTTGGTCAGTATCGAATGCATACATGTCATGATATGTGGTCTTTTAACTCCTCTAAGGTACTGTGTTATTTGACCTAGTTGTTTTCTAATGTTATTAATTTTATAATTTAATCGTGTTTCCCAATGAGGGGTGGAAGGTATACGATTGGTGTTTGTATTTATTATGTTATCTTTACATGTGTTAATTTGAATACAAGTTAAAGCTGCACAGTAGATAATTGTATGAAGTTTTTCAAAAGAGATCGAGTTTGTGAGATATTTTGGTAAAATGAAGGAGTTCATTATTTCTACAATTGCCAGAAACTTTTTAGAATAACACTGGCGGGGAAGTGAATGTCTATCATTTGGTTTTAATTTAGAACATGTTTCGAAAGTTAATTTAAATTGGTCTTCAATTTCATTTTGGAAATTAATGTGAAATTTAAAATTGTTGTTTACAGTTTTGATTAATGTGTCTTCGTTGTTGTAGTACGTGTTTTGTAGATTATCTGTGATGTTAATTTGGTTTTGGATTGTTCTTGATAAATTGTTAAGTGATTTGTCAGTTAATGTCTGGGATCTGTTTGATAGTGTGTTGGTAATTTGTGTTATGGTTGTGTGCACGCGGGGTGCCGTGACTTAACTTTGCGCGAAGGACCGAGAATAACTGAGAAGTACCACTAACCTGGAGTATTTTGCTGGCGGTGACAGGGGCCCTGGTTCTTGGTAGCCTGATGTTGAGAAGTACAACGAGGAACACGCGAGAGGAAAAACCGTTCACTCATGCACCTTTTACGTTCAGTAGCGTACTACTTCCGCTCACTCGCGCGTGCGCCGGAATGGAGCACTTACTGTTCGAACATATCCGCCCACCAATTTTAACAAAATTTAACGAAAAATTAAACGAAAATTAAAGAGAGTTCTTTATGCACATTATGAGAGCTCACTCAATTCTCCATTGAGAATTGGGTTGGGAGAATCACGAGCTTGTTTACCGGACGCGTATATAAACCGGTCGAGGTTTTCACTGTGGCCACACGGACGACTCCATCGGTTCCAGGATGTACCTCTTGTACGCGTCCTAACGGCCATGAAAGGGGGGTAGTTTCTGCGCCATACAATGCGACAATGGCGCCGGGTTGAATGTTTGGTTGATCCTTATTCCACTTCTGACGTTGGAGTTGAGTATGGAGATACTCCGTAGACCACCTCTTCCAGAACCGCTGATACAGCTGGGAGAGTAGTTGCCACCGACAGGTCCAATTCAAGTTGTCCTCCAAGGGAGCTTCAGGAGGTTGCAATAAAGGTCTGCCGACTAAGAAATGTCCAGGGCTTAGGTAATCTACAGCGTCTTCTGGGTTAGAGGTGACGGCACATAAGGGACGGCTGTTCAATACAGCCTCAATCTTACAAAATAGCGTGCTGTACTCTTCGAAAGTTAAGAGAGAGGTGCCGATTGATCGATATAAGAGACTCTTTGCGGATTTGATCGCAGCCTCCCATAGGCCGCCAAAATTGGGGGCGGCTGGAGGGTTAAAATGCCATTTTATCTCCAAAGAAGTTAAGGAACTCGTTATCTCAGAGGAGTGCGAACGTAGAAACTGACTCACCTCCCTCAGGTGTCGAGCGGCGCCGAGAAAGTTACGTCCGCAATCAGAGTATATGTCAGAGGGTAGACCACGGCGTGCGGTGAATCTGTTGAGCGAGGCTAAAAAGGCTTTCGTGGAGAGTTCCGAGACCATTTCTAAATGGACCGCTTTCGTAGACATACATATGAATAAACAGAGATACCCTTTGTATGTGTGGGCCTTACGTCGACGACTTTCCCTGACCGTGAAGGGTCCGGCAAAGTCAATGCCAACAGAGGAAAACGGTTTGCTAGGTTGAACTCGAGCTGGTGGTAGATCAGCCATGAAGGGAAATACAGGTTTCGATTTAAACTTAAAACAGCGAATGCAGCGAAAAATGCGCTGCCGTAGGAGGGATCGAATCGATATTATCCAGAACTTCTGCTGTATAAGCGTCTGCACGCTTCTAGGTCCAGCGTGGCAAGCGTACAGATGATAGTAGTCGCAAATTAAAGCCGAGAGATGAGCTTTCTGAGGTAAAAGCAGAGGGTGTTTCGCATCTAGGGGAAGGGCGGAGTGTCGTAGCCGTCCGCCCACCCTAACTACACCCATTGCATCCAAGAATGGGAACAGCT